GTGCTGCGGCTCTACTGATTGTTCATTATCACCGATTTCAGGAACTGCGGCCTCATCTGCAATCTCAGCTTCTGTTACCTTCGAGGTCTCTGGAGTCTCCACCTGAATCTCCACCTCACTGCTGACACCACGATATGTCTGCTTTGCTGATTGTGTCTCAAGACCCCTCCTTTGAAGCACTGCAGTCTCGTCGAAGATTACGTCTCTGCTGATTAGAAAATCGGGTGATCTGGGATCAGTGCACCACAGCCGATAGCCTTTCACCCCATGTGCATAACCCAGAAATATGCACTTCTTCGCCCTCGGCTCAAGCTTACCATCACTCGCATGAGCATACGCAGGACATCCGAATACTCGTAATCCGAAGTAATCAACAGGTTTCCCCGACCATACTTCCTCATGAGTCTTCCACTCTATAGCAGATGATGGAGATCGATTAACCAAGTAACATGCCATGTTCACTGCTTCGGCCCAAAATTCCTTGCCTATTCCTGCATGCGAAAGCATGCTCCGAGCTCGCTCCAGTAAAGTTCTGTTCTTCCGTTCTGCAACGCCATTCTGCTGTGGTGTCCCGGGCACTGTGCAGTGTCTCACAATCCCTTCTTTCTCGCAGAACTCGGTAAAATCTTTACCACAGAACTCCATGCCGTTATCGGTTCTCAGGCACTTGATCTGTTTATCTGACTGCTTCTCAATCAATGCCTTAATTTTCTTGAACCGATCAAACACATCAGATTTGTGCTTCAGAAAGTAAACCCATACCTTTCTGGAGTAGTCGTCGATAAATGTTAGCATATATCAGGCACCTCCTTTCGAAGGAACCTGAGACGGGCTCCAGACATCTGAATGAATGTACTCAACTGGTCGCTTGGTCGAATGAACAGCTGTTGTAAACTTAATCTGACGCTGCTTCCCAAAGATGCAGTGCTCACATAAGTCCAGCTTCCTTGTCTTCTGACCCTTCAACAACCCCCTATCACTCAGCATCGTCATACCTGCCTCACTCATGTGCCCCAAACGCATATGCCATAACTGAGTCAAGTCAGAATCTGACTCACCTGATGAAACTGCAGCAGCTCCTGTCACGGTCTCTCCCAGTAGATGATAGAGAGAACTCACTTTCTTCCCCTTCATCACTGTCATGGCACCTCGAGAGACCTTCAGCACTCCACCTTCAGCGGTGTACTTACACCCGATATCATCGAGTGTCCCCAAAGAAATAAGGTTCTTCTTGAGCTCTGGTACATGCCTCACGTCTGTCAGTGTGCGCACCACCCCATCGTGCATCTGAATCCGAACTGTCCCTATCCCCACAACATTGCAGGTTGCATTATTCCCCATCAGAACTCTACCACCATCTGCAGTCTGGTAAGTAGTAAACCAGTTCCTATGAGGCGTCATATGATAAGAACACCCCGAATCTAGCACCCATTCGTCTCCTAACGAACCAGTAGTCACACACAAGACGGCCTCTGCATCACTAGTGCTCTCCTCAGCAACGTTTGCCACACTGTTTGTAGCATTCTGCTTGTCACCTCTATTTCTCCGCTTCGGACAATCTCTCCTGATGTGCCCCTCCTCGTGACATTCAAAGCACTTCACGCGTCCTTTAGACTTTCTATTGCGTGACTTTGACCTGCTTTTACCTCTACTGCTACTGGACCCTCGATGTTGTTCTCTACCTCGAATCACTAGTCCTCGCGCTACATCCTGCGCTAGACTGTCATCTCGCAACTTCCTCTGCCACTCTTTAGAAAACAATGCTGACTTTACCTCTTCCGAGGTAATCGTAGTACGCCCTTGGAGTAGTGAATCAGTAAAGTGCTCCCATGATTCAGGTAAAGAAGCCAATAACATCATGCCCCGTTCCTCATCATCAAGTATCTTACCGACGTTTTTCAAATCCATCATGAGTTTATTAAATTCGTCTAGGTGGGATCTGATCGACGTACCTTCAGTATATCGGAATTGAAAGATCTTCTTCAACATGTACAATCGATTGTTCAAACCCTTCGTTACATAGAGTGCTTGTAATTTTGCCCACAATACTGCGGCATCCTTCTCCTCAATCACCTCTATTAACACTTCATCCGATAAATTCAGTAGGATTGTACTCTTCGCTCTCTCCATTAGCTCTGCTTTATCAGCCGCTTTCATTATAATGGGTAACCCATCTTCGCCATCTAATGCTTTGGCCACACCTTGGGTTGCCAATAGCGCACGCATCTTGACGCTCCATAACCCAAAGTTGTTCTTCCCGTTAAACTTCTCAATCTCAACTTTTGCTCCAGACATAATTGCAATAGCAGAATTTCCAGATAATAATCAGACAAGCAAAAACCCCAAATCACAATCCAGAAAATCCAACCCTCAAGCTCTGATACCAATTGTTGGAAATATAATGCGGAAACGACAGGATCTTGTAAATTAAGTTAATGCGAAAATACCATAGAAATAAACGAGAAACGATAAAAGACACCAGAGATTTACGTGGTTCGGTCCGAATATCGGTACCTACATTCACGGGGAGAGCCAGCAACAAATAATCCACTATAATCGGAGAATCAGAGTTACAATTCGCTCATACGCTCAAGTGTTTCCCACACCTACATTTAAGCCCAAATCCAAAGTGTTTACGAATAAACAACTTAATTAGACAAAATAAACTCACTACACAAATCTCAGCGTGTTGAAGCCCAAAGTGAAACGCTCTCATATCATCAAAATCAAGAACGTCGTACGTACTTTCTATTTGTTCTCGCGCGGCGTCCTTCCCTGAGAGCTTCATGGGCGTTCACTCCGGCAGCCACATTGTTTTTGTTGAATTTATGTCTCGAGTTTAAACTCGCGTTCTTATTTGGCTGATTTCGGACGAGGGGCTCTCGGCAGCACAAATAGAAAAATAAAGAAGGTCACTAAAAGACAAAAAAATTAGGGGCACACTTTATTTTATTATTTCTATTTCAACCATGGACTCCTTCTATGAGAGACATAGAAAAGGAGGACTATGCCATATGTATATATGTTGCCGAACAGAATAGGGTATTGAGCGAGCCGCACTAGCCGGGAACGCCCACGAAGCTCTCAGGGAAGGGCGCCGCGCGAGAACAAAAGTAAAGTACGTACGACGTTCTTGATTTTGATCGTACGAGAGCATTTTGCTTTGGGCTTAAACACGCGGTGATTTGTGCAGTGAATTTATATTGTCCAATTGAGTTGTTTATTCGTAAACACTTTGGATTTGAGCTTAAATTTAGGTGTGGAAAACACTCGAGCGTATAAGCGAATTGCAACTCTGATTTTCCGATTATAATTGATTATTTATTGCTGGCTCTCCCCGTGGATGTAGATACCGATATTCGGACCGAATCACATAAATTTCCGGTGTCCTTTATCGTTTCTCGTTTATTTTTCTAGTATTTTCGTATTGACTTAATTTGTAAGATTCTGTCGTTTTCGCGTTGTATTTCCAACAATTTTCATCTAACGTAAAGTGGTTCTTGCAAATACCAAGGACCATCAATAGGTTTCCCATCAGATGAAAATTTATAATGTTGGAACCACTTATCTCCAATGCAACCTGAACTTTCACACTTTTCAACGCAAGACCTGGCAAAACATCAACACTAGCCATGATGAAATGGAAAGTATTCCAATCAAAGAGCAAGCTTCCGGAATGAATTTATTGCAAACCAGCAAGTAGATAGGCCGACTTAGAAGAACTACTCTACTGCCATTAAGAAAAACAAAGAAAAATCTTTTAGGGAAAGGACTTTTTTTCTATTTCTTATCTACTTTAAATCCAAAAAAGAAACCAAGAGAAAAGCGGAAGCAACACACAGGTTCAATCAGCTCTTCCTAGAATAACTGCATTCAGCAAAATAGGACCTTTATTCTCCTAATAAATAAAATAAAATAAAAGCAAACTAAAGGGGAACTAAGTACAAAGAGAATGAAGATGTGTCTCGCTTCATTTGACATTCTAACTACGTCCTTAGACTCCTTACCTTTGCACATCGATCAATGTACTCATGTGATAATTTAGAAATACAGCCTGTTTATCTCTTAACAGCAAACGTAGATGGAGAAGTAACTCACATGGACAGTTTGAATCAGACTTGTTTGAACAACAAACGTCCTTAGACTCCTTTCAACTGGAAGAGTGCGATCATTGAATCCAGATAAGCTGAGAAGTTTATCTCCAGAAATGCCTGCAGTAAAGATCTCTCTCTTCATGGGATTGAATATGAGGCCTGACATGACGTAAAACTGATTAAAAGAGTCTCAATACTTCACTAATCCCTTCAGGCTTCCCATCCAAAAAGTAAACCAAGTCATTAGCAAAACATCGATGGGTAAGCTTCACCCTACTGCGGTTAGGAAACATTTTATCCTGTCCTGCAGCATAAGTAAGCCAAGAATAGAAAACCTATAAACGAAGATGAAGTAAGCTAAAATTGCTTGTTCTTAGTTTTACTGGTAGCCCCTCGATGGCAAAAGGGGTTGACGTAGGAAAAGCTACTTACAAGTGTGCATAGTGTAACGCACTAACGCACAGGTTTCCAAAAAACAAAGCACGTTTTACAAGCGACACATTTGTCAAATACAAGGAATCGACGCGATGTGATTGCTGAGGAAAAATAATCAGAAAGTCATTTGGAGTCAACTTTAGTAACTCTTGAATCGAAAACGTGGATGAAAAGAACAGGTGATGTTGATTCCATGTATGTGACCTCAGTTGTTCATACTTACAAGCTACGGCGTTTTATTACATAATACACGCCCATAAAAATATAGCCGTGTACGCATGACCTCATCACAACTCACAAACCATTTAACTGCTGATAAGACAAACCAGGAAAGTTCACGTCTCGGTGATATACTATTGGCATTGCCATATATTCTCTTCACGAGAAATTATTAGGTGGTTTCTAATCTCACTCCCACAAGAACATAGCTTTCCTATTTCTCAAGTGACGGCGTGAATGACTTCATTCTTGTCATGGATAATTCCACAGGCCTTCTGCATTGAGATATTCCGGTGATTCCTGTGGCAGCGGTGGGCTCACGAGCATCCCCTCCGCCATGTCGGCCAACAGGTTTGGCATGTTCAAAATGGCATCCTCATCGGTGAATTCTTGCCCCGAAGCCGCCATGCACGCGTTCGAGTCCACGTCAAGATCCCGCCTCAGGAGCCTCGTAGCCGCTGCTCTCGATGCGGCGGCACGTATGTCGGTTGGCGACGTGGAAGGCGGAATGGGGTATGTGAGGGCCGAGCTAGGGAAGTTCAGGAGGGCACCGGGGCCTTTTAGGGCAAGGACTGCCACGTCATAAGCGGCCGCAGCCATCTCCGCGGTCGGGTAAGTGCCGAGCCAAATGCGCGTGACTTTACGTGGCTCTCGTATCTCGGACACCCATTTCCTGCCACGAGACCGAATTCCGTGATACACCGGGTGTCTCCTGGAGACCGGAGGATGATCAACGGGCGACCCGGAAGCGCTGGGTGGTGGGGAGTGCTGATCCATGGTAACAGCGGTGGGAGAGGCGCGGGGGGAATGTTCCGTTTGTAGGGTTCATCAACGAAAACAACGCAGCGGAATATAGAACCCTAGATAGGATCCATGTGTATATTGAAATCGAAAAGGAATTTCGGTACGTACCTTTTGCAGATCGAAGATAAATCAGCAACTGATTGTGTCTGGATGAGCGCCCCAAGTGTTGCGCCTCTACCGGTATCCACACACACGAACGGAATTCTCCAACGATCCACGTGCTGGCGAAAGATCTTGAAGTTCCTTTTTCTTGAACGCTTTTTGATTTTCGATACTCTATCGAAAAAAAACCCTAGACAGAGAACGATTCTCTATCTATTTATACATCCTCATTATCTAGCGGGATTAAAAGAAGTGGGCCGGGTTATTTGGGCCCGCCAAACCATCTACCTTCAATCGTACGTTTAATCGTTATCTCATAACGCGCACGACCGCATAGATAATTTAAATAGGAGAATAAATTAAAATCTACTTCTTAAGTAGATCAAGGCGCACAGACAATATTAAGTCCGTTCGCTATTGTGTGCGACCCTGTAGGTTCACTAAACATTAATAGTGTGCCCAAAACTCTTTTGGCCCACAAGTCATAAGCGGTCTCTAGCAAGACATTATGACTACCTAAGTATAGTGAAGATCGGTTTTCCGACACAACCTAATCCACAACTAATATTAGAGTATCAACCTTGATTGATTCTTAGGGCAGACCACTAACAATCTCTCACTTGCACTAGAACCAATCATATAAACTAAGTCTCTTTTGTCACTTGATTTCCGAGTTAAGCATAAGACAGGACAAGTGTCATCCTTATATAGCTTAAACTCATTTTCCCGATACCGCAGTTAGACTGTCAAAACAAGTAGTTGACTCTTCAACTCACTTAAGCATGGCCATGCATTTCACAGTCTCAACTCTACGGGAGGCCAGGAAATCATACCCTCGTTATATGAGAGGGACAAATCCCATCTTGTCTACTCACATCACTCAGCACGCTTCATGACATACCCAGCCATTACCTTTATAATCACCTGTTACGGCTGACGTTTGGCAATGTTAAAGCACGCCAATCCACGTCTAGGAAACCATGGCAGACTCAGGTCAAAGGACTATACTCTATAGCTGTGATGAGAAATACTGATGACATTATATAACAATCCTACAGTATTCTCATAGCGGGTCAGTCCAATACAATGTTCTCCAACATGTATTCCATGTGATCAACTTTATATCTCTATATTCATGACCCGTGAAACTTGATCATCAGTTGACTCACATGCTAGTCTCAAATGCCATTTGCGTCCCAATGCACAATGGCAATTGACTAGGGACATTTAGAATATTAATATCCACTCTATTAATAGAGTTTCACGATCAAATCACGTATTTGATTATCTATTAAGGATATTCAATATTCAGGGGAAAAAGATTTCGCATTCAATTATATACTCAAATTAAATCGAAATCAAATATAATATATATATTTTATTAATGAACAATGAAAATGTATATCACATATACTCCCACTCACATCAAGACCAATCACTAATGTGTCTAAGGCCCAAAGCGTTACAATGATACTCATGCTTAGGTTGTGGAAGAGCCTTCGTCAACGGATCAGCTGTATTCAACTCCGTTGCAACTTTGCACAACTTGACATCACCTCTTTCAATGAATTCTCAAATGAGATGATACTTCCTGAGTATGTGTTTGGTCTTCTGGTGAGACCTAGGTTCTTTACCCAAAGCTATGGCCCCATTACTGTCACAATAGAGGTCCACTGGAATCGAACTAGTGGGACCGATTCCCAGTTCTTTTATGAACTTTCGAATCCAAACAGCTTCCTTTGATGCTTCTGAAGCAGCAATATACTCAGCTTCTGTCGTAGAATCTGCAAGAGTTTCCTGCTTGGAACTTTTCCAGCACACCGCTCCACCATTCACGCAAAAGACAAAACCTGACTGCGATCGAAGGTCGTCTTTGTCTGTTTGGAAACTAGCATCAGTGTAATTATTTACAGTGATCTGTTCCTCACCTCCATAGACTAAGAATAAATCCTTAGTTCTTCTCAAGTACTTAAGGATATTCTTGACAGCAATCCAGTGAGGTTCCCCTGGATCTGACTGGTATCTACTTGTCATGCTCAATGCATAAGCAACGTCAAGACGAGTGCATAACACAGCATACATGATGGATCCCACAGCTAATGCATAAGGAATCCTACTCATGCGGTCTCACTCATCTTGTGTTGAAGGACACTGAGTCTTGCTAAGACTTATGCCATGTGTCATCGGGAGAAAACCTTTCTTGGAGTCTTGCATATTAAACCTATTGATGACTTTGTCAACATATGTACTTTGACTCGGTCCAATAAGTCTCTTAGATCTATCTCTATAGATCCTGATCCCCAAGATATAGTTTGCTTCTCCCATGTCCTTCATGGAGAAAAATTTTCCTAGCGATGTCTTAACTGACTGAAGCATAGGAATGTTGTTTCCAATGAGTAGTATGTCCACATACAACACTAGAAACACAATTGCACTCCCACTAGACTTCTTGTATACACAAGCTTCTTCTTTGTTTCTGATGAAGCCAAACTCTTTGACAGTTTCATCGAAACGAATATTCCAGCTCCGTGATGCCTGCTTCAATCCATAAATAGAACGTTGAAGCTTGCATATCTTCCCAGTGTTATCTGGTGATGTAAAGCCTTCAGGTTGTGTCATGTACACATCCTCCTCTAGTTTTCCATTAAGGAAAGCTGTCTTTACATCCATTTGCCATATCTGATAGTCATAATATGCAGCAAATGCTAGGATAATCCGAATGGACTTAAGCATGGCCACTGGCGAAAAGGTCTCGTCATAGTCAATACCATGAGTTTGTTTGAAACCTTTAGCTACTAGCCGTGCTTTATAGATGTGAACATTTCCATCCATATCAGTTTTCTTCTTGAAAACCCACTTGCACCCTATAGGTTTGACACCTTCGGGTGGATCAATCAAAGTCCAAACTTTGTTTTGATACATTGAGTCCATTTCGGATTTCATGGCCTGAAGCCATTTATCGGAGTCTGGGCCCATCATAGCTTTTGTATAGGTCGTAGGTTCGTCATTTTCTATTAACAATAGATGACGATGTTCTGTCACGTGAAAACCATATCTCATAGGCTCACGATGTGTTCTTTCAGACCTACGAACTATAGGTGCCAATGGAGTAGACTCTACAACTCTTTGTAGATCTAATTGAGGTTCCTCATGAACTGGAACACCCTCTTGTGACACAATAACTTCTTCGAGGTTTACCTTACTCCCACTGGTTCCTTTAGTAAGAAACTCTTTCTCTAAAAAGACACCATTTCGAGCAACAAACACTTTGTTCTCTGATGGATTGTAAAAGTAATATCCTTTCGTTTTTTTAGGATATCCGACAAATAAGCATTTATCAGATTTGGGTCCAAGCTTATCAGAAAGTAAACGTTTTACATAGGCTTCACAACCCCAAATCTTTAGAAAAGACATACTAGGAACTTTTTCTGTCCACATCTCATATGGTGTCTTCTCTACAGCTTTTGATGGACTTCTATTTAGTGTAAACGCAGCTGTCTCGAGTGCATATCCCCAGAAAGATAATGAAAGATCTGAATGACTCATCATTGATCGAACCATGTCTAACAAAGTTCGATTTCTCCTCTCAGAGACACCATTCCACTGTGGTGTTCCAGGAGGAGAGAGCTGTGAAACAATTCCACACTCTTTGAGATGGTCATTGAACTATTGGCTTAAATATTCTCCTCCTCGATCAGATCGAAGAGCCTTGATATTCTTGTCAAGTTGATTCTGTACTTCATTCTGAAATTCCTTGAACTTTTCAAAGGAGTCAGATTTATGTTTCATCAAGTAAACATATCCATATCTACTGAAATCATCAGTAAATGTAATGAAGTACTGATAACCTCCTCTGGCTGTAGAACTTAGTGGTCCACACACATCAGTATGTATAAGGGCCAACAATTCTTTTGTCCTCTCACTTTGATTAGTAAAAGGAGCTTTTGTCATTTTTCTAACTAAACAAGATTCACATGTATCAAATGATTCAAAATCAAATGAATTTAATAGTCCATCGCTATGAAGCTTGTGAATTCGTTTCTCGTTTATGTGGCCTAATCGACAATGCCATACGTAGGTTGGATTCAAATCATTAGATTTAAACCTTTTTGTATTTATATTATAGATTGGCACATCAAGACTTAAAACATATATCCCATCCACAATATGGGCGCTACCATAACATAATCCATTAAGATAAAACGAACAACTATTGTTCTTTATATCAAAACAGAAACCTTCCTTGTCCAAACAAGAAACAGAAATAATATTCCTGCGTATAGCAGGTACATAGTAGCAATTATTCAGTTCTAAAAACATGCCAGAAGGTAAAGCTACATCATATGTTCCTATGGCTAATGCAGCAACACTTGCTCCATTCCCAACACGTAGCTCCACTTCACCTTTTGTAAGTGTTCTACTTCGTTTTAGTCCCTGCACATTCATACAAATGTGAGTACCACAACCGGTATCCAATACCCATGAAGTAGAACTAGTAGTAACATTTACTTCTATAACATAAATACCTGAATCGGAAGTCTCACTTCCCTTTTTCTTCAGATCCTCCAAATATTTCTTGCAATTCCTCTTCCAATGTCCATTCTCCCCACAATGGAAGCATACAGCATCAGCACTCGGACCTGATTTGGTCTTGGATTTGGGTTTAGGCTTAGTGCCTTTACCCTTACCCTTGACCTTACCTGGCTTCTTAAAGCCTTTCCCCTTTTGAACCATGAGAACATTAGGGGTAGGGTCCTTCTTGATATTCTGCTCAACAATTTTGAGCATCCCATGCAGTTCAGTCAAAGACTTATTCAGATTATGCATATTATAGTTCATAACAAACGTGTCATAATCTTGAGGCAATGACT